TACTTACTGTAAGCTTGTTTTTGATTTCAGTTAACAAAACGATTCTTTAATCACTGGATTGTATTTTATTTCCATCCAAACACCTTATTATATTGCCTGATAAACTTCGGTACTCTGACCGATTTCAGTAAAATACCTGACGGGTGCAAGTTGTATATCAATATCAATACTTTTGCTTGTGGGATTTATTGGATCTATGCATTGATTGACTACTAATCATAATCATCTTTGTTTGGATGTGATTTACGAGGGAGTTACAACTAGAAAAATGTGTGATCCGTTTAATGAAACCAGCGAAAGACATGTTTTAACCCTTTGAGCTTGGTTGACCGAATATTTGGAAATGGTTTTAGAGCCAAAAGAGGCGCTAAGAAAAGTGCTATGCGGTGGCATCAATCCGTCAATAATGAATCGATGCCGGTAGTTATTTCATTTGTGAATTTTATATAAAGTACAGCAACTGATTGCAAAATAAATTAACTCTTGATACTTGGCAAATAAACGATGGCTATTACACAATGTAACTGAATAAAGCAAGGGCACAATGCATTTTTTCAAGGTTGATGGAATCGGGAACTAACACCGTAATATATCATATTAAGTGCCAGTAAAAAGCTACTCATGTTAAAAACAAGATCTCTTATTCAATAAGGGATGCGTGGTTGTATAGCTCAATGTGAAATAATTATCAGCTTTTTCCCGAAAGTCAATAAGGCTCTCAGTATTGCATTATTAGAATGTGGTTATGCTCAAAACGTTCAATCCACAGTCCATCACATAAAAAAGGATATTTGCTAGTTCTTTACGATCTGAGATCAAATGTAATCAGAAATGATGGAGCATCACGTGGCCAATAAATTTAATCAGTTAATTGTGTATTTTTAAGGCGTTCTAGTGGAATGTTCAATGTTCAATGTTCTTCAATTAGAGGCAGATGGTAATTTCCCGTATGAGCCTCATCACCACAGACTCGAAGATCTCATTCATGATGGATCTGCATACCCGCATTGTTCGCAGGAGGCTGTCGAGCTTCCTCTTGAACATCTTATCAATGATCTCGTCCACCACGTCAGCTGGAAGGGAGTTCCAAAAGTTGGTTACCCTTCGCGATAGCCGGAACCGAAGAGGTAATCCTACGGACGAAAGCTTCAACAGCGTAAGTCCATGTCCACGAGTCTTGGTCTGCTCGCGCAGAGGGAAATACTCCATCAACTCTGGACCCATGTCACCGCGAAGAATGCGTCACATCTGGGCTAGCGGGGTTGACACAACATTAGCCAGCTCCTTTAGCGCCAACAGGTGAACTCCATCTGGACCTGGGGATTGGTATTGACGAAGTCCTCGTAGCACCTCGGCGACATCAGTAGCCTCCAGACAGGGGGCACTGACTGTGATATGAGGGTGCGGATACGAAACCCTCTGAGGAGATGAGGGAGACGAACCTGAGATTCCTGTTGCTGTGTACACTGAAGCATAATGCCCCGAGCGAGTACGCCAGCCTTGAAGCAGTGATTACTACGGAGGAACAGAGTCTTCAAGTGGAACTGTAGAATGAGAATGGGGAAAATTAATTGCTAATTATATTCAAATGCATGGATATGGTTTTGACGGATGAAACTCAATCAAATGATAGTTTATCCCAAGTGATTCTTATTCATGACAATAAATTTCAATGCATACCGATAGTCAACATGAAAATATTTAAGAAGGAGAAATTGCGTCGCAGATTACTTGAAGACAATTTCATCTTGAGACTGGATGTAAGGTTTAAAACGATCTCGTAATTGATTGCTCGTTCTGCCTGCTCTATGTTTTCAGTTACACGGACGATCGTATGCAGGAGCAAATAATTATGTAGTCATTGTGAAATTCAAATCCGGCCTCCAGATGAAATTGGTCCGCAAAATTCTGGTATTTGAATGTTCCGTTTCCTCAAAAACATTTTAAGTCAATCAGGGACGTGTATATAATGTGTTTTACTTGTCTGCCTACTTATCACCGAAAACAAGCTGAACTGCTACTCTGTTTAGAGGTGGGAAAAGGGATGAACAAAGTGATTCAGATGAAATATGGTGGGAATTATTTCACTGAACTGTACGAACATCAATGTAGTGTAATTCACATGAGGTCTTGTTATTTTTGGTTGGTTTCATGTGAAGAAAATGCCTTATCCCAACTTGTACTACTTGGGGTCCGGCTACCTATGTTGAAATAAGAAGTCACTTTAGCCATAGTGTTAAAACTAAACTTTGTTCAATTCGGGTAAATTGTTTCGATCAGTAAGCAGAAACATTGATGATTATTGTACCATTTATCAATGATGGTTTGGTTCCAGCCTTCGTGGGCTGGGCAAGTGACGGAAATAAGGGGTCTCTGCATATTTAACAGGACAAAAGCAGGCCCAATAAGTAGAATAGCGAACCTCGGCGGTATGTTTCCCACTGAATGATGCAATTTCATAGCTTACAACGTAGATCGATTTCTTCTAAGGAAAATGAGTTACCCACTGGATCGTTTTACTGGCCTACTGGCTAGAGGTCTACTTTATTAGACAATAAATGTATTACCATAGTTTTTTGAAAAGGTATCGAGATTGAAACAATACAAAACATGAAACCAGATGGCACCAGCAGTCAGATCAACTTGGGTTTTTGAAGTGCGGTGGTGGTCAAGTGGTCAAAAAATGTTGACCAGGAAGTACCGGGTTCCAAACGCTCCACTGTTGCCCATCATCCCCGTTTCTGTATTTTCCCAATCAGCATTTGCACGGTCGAGGCCTCCTTTCTGAAATGTAGTCGTACATTTGTATATTCATTGATAATAAAGGGAGTAAAATGGCGTTTATTATTAATTAATAATTATCAACATTTCGAAGTTAACGGATTCAAATGTAAAAAAATCAATGATGTGATGGATTATTGAATGTATAATATACGGATTCAGCACAACAGTCAAAGAGAATTCCTGAAATATTAGTAATGTTTTAAACAGCAATAAAAATCTTGAGTTGGATATGATTTCATACATCCAGTTTCTTTCATAAATTTTAGCAAAATGGGGGAAACCACATAACAGTAGAAAGATAATTATTTTGTGCACTCAGTGAAAAACATTGACAGTCGAGGTAAAAAATAAAACAATGTAGATGACAGGATATCCCAGAAAATATAGCATTTCAGTCAGATCTAATCCAAATTCTTGTAGGACAGGGGAGTATTAAAAGTTCACGTGAACAACTAAAGTCAACCTCCTCAAGTGAACGTGAAAAGGTTATAGGTTATACCATGGCGGTGAAAAACCGGTTTGCACAGATTGGGCTGAAATCATCGAACGGTGGTGAATTCCTCAAGTTGGCGAACAATTACATCATTCTTCTTCGGAAAGAAACTATACAGACATTGGGTGGTGTGGTGACGAGTAGTCAGTAAAGCATTACATTTTGTGAATCGTGCCAGAAGACCGATTTCTATATCCCCTATGCAGATAAAGAAATTGTTTTGGTGAAAAAAACGATATTCAGTTGAAAATTGAGCACTAAAAAGGTAAATTCCAGTTTCTTGAAATGCCCTTGACAGGCAGGAGGGATACATTGATACACTCCACGTTTCACCAGCTAGCATGCATACATTATGATCTAAATTTTTTAAGTTACTGCCATAGGGATCACAAGCGAACTGTTGTCATCATCTTGTATGTACGAGCTCCTTCAAAAAAAAAACTAATAGTAATGATTTTCAAGGCATTAGGTTTACTCTGCCGGAAAACGGATAACCCAAAACACGCCAAAAATGGGGCGATAACATAAGGTAGAAAGAAGCAAGCTCCATTATCACTATTCCATCTCAAGGAGATAAAAACTACGGATGAGACTATCGATGAAAAGTGCAAGCAATCCATAAAATCTATCATGTCAATTCTCTAATCATCTTAGCGAAAATCAAAAATCTAATATTGGAATCTGGTTTAGACATGTCTGTTGAATATAATTATGGTTGTAGGTACGTAGATCGAAGGCAGAGAAGGCTGTCTATTAGGATATCGGAACATAGATTCAAGAAATTAGCACTACCTAATCAAACAGAGTTGAAAATTTTCATAGCGCACAACTTATTAGGTTGCAACAAATGTGTAGAATCGGCTACGTACTTCGAGGTAATAAGAAGACAAGACAACCTTCTACTACATTAGCTTATGCTGAAGCTTTTGACGTTCGATAGCTGTGCAAATAAATGAATGTGTTGGACAGTTTTTACCTATCTTGGTGGAACTGTTACTTTTATCACACATCTATCCACTGAGGTTGAGTGCGGTTTTTCATGAAAAGGGTTGTAATTTTCCCCTATCCTTTACCAAGTTGAGATTGACCCAATCGATGTGTTAAGGTTTCGGATATCTTGTCACCTAGATCCTTTTACTTTTGACCTTGAACGTCAATGCCGAGGATTGAGAGTGTTCGAACTCACTGTTATACTACCGAAATGTGTTTTTCCTCGTATTGCTAGGATAAGATTTACTCCAATATCCCACAGATGTAAGAAGAAAACATCATTTGATAATACTGTACGGTTTATGTCCAAGACGATTTTACTGAATCTCAGCATGATCCATACTGCAGAAAACATAATGTTTATATATATGGTTTTAGCATGGCAACAAAGAAGAGTAGAATAAATTAAAACTTACAGACAAAACGTGTAGGCGGAGAAGGACCATCTCATCAAGGTAATAAAAAAACAACATAAAGTTCTTTTCATTAACACAGGGGGTCTCCATCGGCTGATGGCAATCGCTTCTGCTCACATTACTGAATGATTTCCAGTGGTTCAAATAAACTTGTTAAACACTCTCGATAATTACATAGAATTATAAACGGTTTTGAAGGCTCAGGGTATGTTCAGTAAACGACAGATTAAGAAGTATCTTTTGAAAATACCGCGTATGCTTAAGTTTTGATTCGTGACAAGTGACCTTTTGGTTTTCATTGATTTCAGTTCGTGGCAATGATGACATCTAGCCTGAATCGGTTATCAAATGTCCTTCCACAGGCAAATCAACAAGGTGGTATGTGCACTCAATAACGCTCTTAAATATTTGTGAACAGCTGATAAGAAAGGCAGTCCGAGAGTAACCACACCGAAACAATCACTTCGAGAAAAGGAAACGCGGACAGGAGGCGCAGTATCTGTGGTTTTCAAAGATCAAGTGATTGAAACTACTGATTCGGTGCCATCGAGTTCCAAGACGAAAGCTGCCGCGAACAATCTGAACAAAAGTGACTCCGGTGTTGTCCAATTCAGGCTGAGCAAACAGTTAGATTTCGATAGACCGGAACCAACTTTACCACTACCCAACGGGTGGATGACTATGAAACGACGTGGATGTCTTATTTACAGTCCTTCGCTAGAAATTCAAGAAATGGTTTTTTCGCATTTACTACTTGTGTTAAATGCTACTGTTCAATTGCAAATCACTCTCGATGTAGACAATACCCTCACTCGTAAGTGGGTTGCTTTTTCGAATGTTTCTCATAAAACTGGTATCCATTTCATCACTGTTGAAAATTTACAGTGCATAAACAAAGGCAGATATCGACATTGTTTCTGTATCATCAAAGCTTTCAAAATGTGCAAAATCTAAACTGATCACTTTCCATGAAGTTCGAAGATCAACAATTTGAAAATCTTGCACAGGCCCGGATGGCAACTATTTGATTTCATGTTTAGTTTACCAGATGCTCTATGGATGTCAATCGAAACTATTGGGCAATATCTTGAGTTTACACGGTATTATTTTGTCTGCCTGACTCGGATAAAATGCTAGATCATAAAGCCATTCCTATTTGACAAGATAGAAAAATATGTACTAAGCACCTATGAATCATTAAAGGTGATGCAAGATGTCAGGTTAGTTTTCAAAACGTTTGCAAGCTCTCTTAAGGTATTTGGGAGAGGGTACAATAGAGTCCGCACTGACATGATTGAGCAGGATTGTACCTAGGTTCATGGTTCATGGTTGTGAGTTCAGAGTTCTCCTCTTTCTGAATCTACTTTATTTAAAATCATTACCAAACACAAGAAAAACCTAGCTTACCAAGAATGCTACTGATCTACATCGTTTATCAATAGGCTAAAATCCAGAGGAAAATCTTTCCCACTGAACTGAAGGAGCTAACCGGATGAATTTAAAAGGTTTCTAAGTGTTCGATTACAACGCGCCTGTAAAAGCTAAGCCACGGATTGGATCTGCAGGAGGTCAACAAAGAATGTTCGGATCTCTTTTGAGCCCAGAATATCCCGGTACGAGATACCCAACTCGGGATGAATTTTTTTCTTTTCGGTCAGTGTTTTCCTCTGCATGAACCCTTCCGGATATGAAAGCGGTTAAACTAGAGGAGCTATACAATGAAAGCGCTCCATCAGGAAGAGTTTGCTGTGGCACATGATGAAGAACCATATGAATAATTATATTTGCTAGATCCAAGCTACATCCATCGAGGTTATATGGCACATTTGTCAATCAATCCTATTAAGCACTGCTGTTACCAAGGTCTTAAGAATGAGCGCCCCATATTTTTACGTGACACGTTTACCATTATCTCCCTCTTTCTCATTTGCTGTTCTGTTTCTCTCCTTCACGCATATTCACATCTGTTTTATTCATTCTTGACTTACCCCTTTCATGCCGTGTCCAGTTTGCACATCTTTACCCTGCTTCTCCCTATCCACTAAATAAACATTTTGCACACATTCTGCACCAGCTTGACTAATCAAATTAGATACGTGAATGCCTGAAGTGATGTAACAAAAAGTAATTTCTTCGTGTTTCCATTCTGTTCTTATGTACTAATGGGATTCCTCTACACTCCTATTAGCCTTGTGACATTTATAATAAAAGTGACAAAAAGCAACGTTATTCTAAACACTAAGGTGATAAAAAGCATTATGGTTGAATTTGACATTTCTTTTAGACTTTAAACAAAGTAACCTATTTGAGAATCGGCCAAAGGTCATCACGACTGAGGTACATCAATCCTGTGGAAAAATGAACGAACTGCCACGGAGAACGACACAGGTCGGAACAAAAATGACGCGGACCATAGTGTCTGTTAAGTTGCTTTAGCTATCCACGAAAACTTTCCAATAATCAATTTACTTACGAAATCAAGGTTTGACAGTGTTGTTCTGGAGCGGTAGTTTAGTCTCCCTAACCCGTACGTTGGTGGGTAGACTATTACCTGAGACATTAAACTAGCACACATGACCGAGGAATCCCAGCAATGGCAGGATAGTCATCCAATGGTTTTTGTTGTCCATCACACGGAAGTCTATCGTAAATCTATAGTTTATTTACCGCAAACTGTAGATGTTTGGATTACAATACTTTACGCTACTCATTGAATATGGTCGTGTATTGCAATATTTTTATGTATTAGTTTGACCCGACTGAATATTTCGGTCCTATTAGCCGTATTGTTTCAAATGAAGGTAGAAACTGTGACATGATTTCGACTCTATCGGAAGCTGATATGGTCTGATACTTTAGGTATCGGGTACCATTCTTCAAATCTGAACATTGGGTCATTGCCGTAATGTCTGTTAATACTTTCCAATGTTCATCGGGTTTATGACTTTATGATATTCACCGATAACGGATAAGTAGAAGATGAAAGAATACTCAATCTGAATAAACGCCTTATTTTATGATTGTTGTCTGGTTTAACTTGTTACATGAACAGAAAGACGAACTTAGAAATAGAGTATCCGACCAAAAGTCAACTGTTTGAGTATTAACGTGCTTACTTGTTCCCACAATATACAGAAGATAACTAATTCTTCGATTTTCAGCAGTTATAATTACCACTTATAACGATTAACTAGTCAACATAAATGAGGTGAAATTTCGTTTCCCAATGAAGTAGCATTTAGAATTAAATTTTATCTTATTCAAATTAGCACAAGGAAAGCACGAGTATTTTTATTTGCAATCTCTTCTCGGCCGGGTGGGAATAGATTTCAAAGGTTTATTCTACACACAGTTGAGATTTTTCAGTTTCAAACAGTGGCTCAAACAAGTTATCTAAGTTTTATCAAGTTATACATCAACTTTCAGCTAATCACGTTCTAATCGCGTTCCAACTCTCAGCGATCTCCAAAGACGCCAAGATGACCTATATCGTTATTGGTGAGAACAAAACGGAGATAGCGTGGTCCCATACAAATGGAGTAAGTCTGCTGAATGAAATTTTTTCGAGATCGTAAGATTTAATTGCAAGTATGTTTTCTATCGTTTGCTGTAATTTCATTTCGGAAAACATCTTAAAAATATGCTGATAACAGTCTGATTGCAAATGCACATACATTTGTAGTAAACCGAATAAGAGTCAACGATGAGTATTCCCGTAATTATTTGTGGTATTTTTATCATCAATATGAGAAATAATAGTTGCTTCAAACACTAACAATGCGGACCAACTCACATGAGATAACAACCAAATTCCTTGAACATGTAACTCCTCCCTAAAGTTCATTTGCTGAACTCAGTTAAATTCCCCGGAAAACCCACCAGATCAAACAACTGAAATGCCAACTGGTGGATTCCATTTGCCTCATTCAATGGGTGATCCAAAAATGAAGAAAATGGTGTGACATCGTAGCTCGCCTCTAAGCATTTGCACTTGACAGAATAGTATGCGTTGTTCGTGCTTGAGTAGCAATTCCTATACGGACCATTGGGCTTTTCACGATCCAAACACCAGATTTTATTCTGCCGATAAGCAGCTTAATAACATTATTTAAACGAATGAGAAATTGTTCTGTTTGACACATTCAAGTTTTCTGTTAGAATCACGAAACGTTCGACAGTCTCCGGGCGATTCAAACGTACGCACATGGACGCGGACTACTCGGTTTGTATAGGACAGGCCCTACCAGTTGAGCTATGGGTGTAGACGTAGGCGGAGTCCCTGCGTGGGTTCAAATCCAACCAAGGCTTAAGACATTTGCACAATTTAAAAATAAAAGAATAGTGAATGTCATATCTAGAGGCTTCATTGGATAAGTGCTCTTTAAGCTTTCAGGTTCTGGACAACTTTATCCGCTAGAGTAGCTAACAACTTTGAACGAAACCCATTGCTTAGATGCTCGAAACAACAAATGGTTACTGTTTGAAAATGGCCCGTGAAAAAAAATCGTGTTCATTCATATTGCATCAAAACAATTTCGTTCATTTGAAAAATGTAAGCGTAAAACATTTATGCACATATTTTTAATGTTCTCATTTTCTCATTCACTCAGTCAGCAATCCTAAATACGGAACTACCACCGGGAACATACAAAGTGGTACCGATTTACAGTGGAACCTGTCTGAATCGGAGCCTCACACCTCGCGGAAAATCAAAAACCCAACTGGTCAGAAGCGATCCAGACCAGGGATTTACGCTGACCGCTAAAGCTAGGTATGTCTAAATTTTACATAAACTTAGTTTTACCTTCCCATACGTATAACAGTTAGGGTGCCACTATTCTCTTACGCGCCAATGTTGATTGTAAATGGCTTGTCGAAATTTTGAGGCGTCCGCAACTCCGCTAGAATCAGATCACGGTCTGGAGCCGCTCTCTAGTTGACAAACACTCCAATGCTTTCAATGCTCTTCTGAATTAAACAAAACGTAAACGACATGCATCAGTACTTCACCAACAGCTCTTATTGACTCGTTAAATTTTGTGTTAGTCTGAGTGGTCATCACCGTTAAATATTTCCGTAAGTTCAAGTTTCATCGGTTAGCAGGTTTGTAATTCATGTAATAATCTACTGATTAATAACTTTAGCGGATTTGCTGGGTTATGTCGACGCATCAATGTATCAAAACATCACAGCGTACGATTCGGCCTCAAAGTTCAGCTCTTCGTGCATTTGCTGCATAGAGATGTAGGCTGCGTTTATGCATGAATCCAAATCCCAACGAAGCTGTTACTCTTATCACAACTGAATTGAATAAGAAAGTTCTTAAGTTGTTTATTTCTATACCGAGTAATGATAGGCTGCGTTGGAGTACTCAATCAGTGAAGTTAACCATCTTGTCCTCCATACGTTGTATTTTACAACCCCTATTGTCGCCGATAAACTTTCACGCACCTTGGTATCACATGGCAGCCATTTGATCAATCACTCTTTCTTCTTGAGGAACTCTTTGTACTTTGTATTTTTTAATGAAAACAACCTGTAGTAAAGTTGATCACAACCAAGAAGTTGCTTTCCTGCGTCTAGAATCAGGTTTACATATAAATAGTTTAGTTTTAAAGTAGATTGGTGCTACACGTTCAGTAACGTGTGTGTACCATAGTTGATACTTGACACAAAACTGGGAGACTAGGATTGATGAATGACTCGGTGAGACGGGAAGGTAGCTTGAAATAAGAACAATTTAAAGTAAAATGGGCGACAAATTGTTTGTGAAGGAATTGAAAAACCAAAGAGATTTCCGACGTTATCCTTTCTTGCGACAAAATTGAATACAGTCACTTGGTCAATCGTATGTCTGCTATCGATCAAGTGAAGGAAGAGTAAGTTGTTAATAGTCCTTACAGGAGCCTTACAAAAGGAATCACAACAATGTTCCGATGCTTGCTTGAATAGTAGTATCCTGATTGAAAGCTGTTTCTTCGACATTTTAATCACTTCATAAAACTTCCTTGATTATCTGGTATACATCTTCCGGCTACTTAAACAGCACAACCGTGTCAAGCCGGTACACGTTTGACATTGATGAGACTCTGACACGATATCTCATTGAGATAAATGCACAATGAGATCCTCTATCAAGTTCCTCAGGCTGCGCCATATGCCAGTCGCTTTCAAATGGTCATTAATTGGTTTATAATGCCGGGTTAGTTGGCTTATACATCTATAGTTCAAGACCTTCGGAAAGGAGATGGTGAAGAAAAGAGTACAACAGATATTAGAAGGATTCAATAAAATAAAATAAAAACCTAGGAGGCATTCTACAGCTGCTTTGATCTCACTGGATCTCGTTAGCGTTTCAACCGCATCGAAACAACTGAAGATTGAACTCAGGATCTCATAAAAAGAATACAACCACTTTACCAACTTGATACCCAGGCTTTATTTCATATGTAAACTATACAGCTCAATTCAATTTTGAAACAAAGTCCGATTAGCTATACAGTGCTTCTCATCCTTCAGTTCACTCTTCTTTTGTTTCGTATCAGATGAAGTTAATCAGGATATCTAATCATATATTCCGTTACTTCACTGCAAAATCTGTCATATTTGTTTCTTACTTACTTGTAACCCTGGAGACTCATCGAGGTGTGATGCTTTCGACATGACTAAAAGATGGATTGATTGCGCTTCATCATGTGTGCGGATAAAGTAAAGCAGAGTGATCAGCTACCCAATGATCAAGTAGTTAGTATACTTGTGTTCTGCTAATGAGGTTCTGGGGTTGATCTCTAGTGCAAATGAAGGATTAACACTATTGATCGTACCGAATATTATTATTATTTCGGTTAAATAAGAGCAAATAGCGTTCCACAAGAAAAATGCACGACTATTAGTTCATTTACGACTGATGTAAAACTGCCACCACAGCCAGCCTTGTGGTGCAATGGATTAGTCACAACAACACCAGATAATGAAAAATTAGTCGGTGTGGCCTAAGGACAGGTTTTAGATGATCATCTAAAACACTTGTGATGGTTTCGAGAGGTTAAAATGAATTTGATGACATGTCCCCACTGCCTGATGAGTAAGCTTTTGGTTATTCAATGTGTTGATATTTTAACATCACAACTCTGATTCTATGATAGGTTTCTCAACTGCAGGTAATAAGCGCCAAATTCGCAAACGTATTACATGGTATTTATTATCCTAATAAAGTGAAAATTTGCAGTTATTTTACAGTACCAACTACTTAATCCGTAGGAGCCTGCGACTGATTTAGATTAAATAACAAGAATCAATTGCTAACCAATTGTGTCTTCTGTTTTGTAATTAAGCACGGCGATTGATTCAATTTCATATGGAAATTCGTCGTGTACTGAGTAATTGACAGATGAACTGAAAAGCTGGGAAGCCCTGTACAGCTGCTTTGACTTAGTTCGGTCTCATTATCAGTGCGAATCCAGCGACCGCACTGGGACCTCTGAGGCAAAACACAGGCATACTACGCACTCTGCTGCTAAGCAGCTGATCGCACCGTTTTTCAGTTTCCGTTTATGCAATATTACACAACCTATCGTTGCGAGCTTCTTGCGAGCATTGCACCTCGCTCATCTGAGCATTAGCCTCTATCTATCTATCTATCTATCTATCTATCTATCTCTCTATCTATCTATCTATCTATCTATCTATCTATCTATCTATCTATCTATCTATCTATCTATCTATCTAT